TGCCTTCTATTGTCAGTGCACTTAAATTTTGCTACTTTTTCGCTTTGTCAGTTTAGGTATGATAGGGATATACTGTATTGGCATAATAAAAAGTATTGTCTTGAAAACAAGTTCAGCTTCATGTCCTCTGTTGTTCCAAATATATGTTGCATTTGTCAACTTGTTGGCCAGCTTCTGCTCATATTTGACCACAAATTAAGGGCTTGGCTAGATGACTAAATTGCAGCAGGCTGGAGTGGGCTACATAAGGTCACTTAAGGCTAAACCGCAGAAGCCTGTGCTGCAGGGTCAGAAGACCAGCAGTCGTAAGATCAAACCCACACGACAGAGTGAGCTTCCCCCGCTTTGTCCCAGCTCCTCGCCAACCTAGCAGTTCGAAAGCATGTAAATGTGAGTAGATAAATAGGTACCACCTCGGTGGGAAGGTAAAACAGCGTTCCCTAGTCATGCTGGCCACGTGACAACGGAAACTGTCTTCAGACAAGCGCTGGCTCTATGGCTTGAAAAACGGGATGAGCACCACCCCCTAGAGTTGGACACAACTAGACTTAAAATGTCAAGGGGAACCTTTACCTTTACCTTGCATCCACATGGCATCTACACTTCAAGCAACCCTATTTGTCCCACTTCCATTTAAAGAAAAGAAAACAAAATAACAATCTCCCTCTTTGTCTACTCCTCCTTCTGGGAGGAAGCTTTCATTTTCCCCCACCCCAAAAGGTCCAGTGTTTCAGTGCTGCCCTAACAAGCTCAAAAACAACAACAACACACCTTTGCACACCCCTCCATGGAGGAACAGATGAAGTTTAAAAATTTCCCAATATTATTAAGTGGCTAAGATTGTCCGCTTAAGCAGTTTAATGATATTGGGAAATTGAAGGCAGGAAGTAATCCACTTTGGTTTGATCTCAGTGATCATTCATGCTGGAACAAAGTCAAAATAGAGCAATCCTACCCACATCTAAAAAAAGAGTAGTCTCTGACAGGGAACCTAAAAGGCACAGGTAGTTCAGACTAGCACTTACGTGATCACTGGGGAAAGGAATGAAATACTGTATTGTATCCCCACAGCAGACCAAATAGTGGGATAAATCCCTGTGTAGTCACACTTTAAATTTGCTTGTTTGCTATAGTGAAAGTGACTCCTTATTAAAGACTTTATGGCTACTCTTTTGCTAGAATTACACATTTCCCCAAAAATCAGTGCTGTTTATAATTCGTTGCAGTGGAATCAATCACAGAAAACATCTGCTGTTTTTTCAATTCTTTCTCACACCTCCTCTCGCTGGCTGGCTGCTCCTCTCCAACCTCTGGCATTTCCTCTCTTCTCTGCCCCATCATCTCTCTATAGCTAGCTTTCTCAGCATTGTTCTGTTTTGTCATTTCTTCATACCTCTATTGTCTTGCTTGCCTCTTGGGCATTCCCCTCCGTCTTCTACACCTTGTCTCTTCCATCTCCACGGTCTGTCGTGTTTGGTAAGTGCACCAGTTTACAGTGCTGATTGCAGTGGTTATAAAAGAGAATTCTGGATGCACCGAGGAAGTGTTTATTAATAACTGAATCATTGCAGGTTTTGAATTTCTAGCAAAATTCCCTTTTTGCTATGCAGTAGAAGTACAGAGAGGGACAGAGGAGAATACTGTAGTTTTAAGTTCCCTTAGAGTCCAGCCCTTTCTCCTTAATTGGCACTTAAAAGGCTCATTAGCTCACTCTGAAACATTTCTAGAAGAATGAATAAAAATTTACTTACAATTGCTTGAAATTAGACTTGTGTATGTGGCTTTATTTACTGCACACATACTTAGCAATCAACCAGACAGATCAACAGCAAACAAAAAAAAAACCTGCAGCCAACAAAGGTTCTTTTCCTTATAGTTTGATCTAAAAAATTATCCAATAGGAAGGGGAGGGACTCACAACCACTGCATCTATACTGAAAAGCAGAAGAAAGCAATTTCAGGAGATCCATTGCCAATAATTTGAGGGAGCAGTGAATTGCATGGGGTGCACTGGACTGAAAATCCACACTAATTTAAGTCTCACAGCTAACTTGCAATATTAAACAGTGGACTACGAACGGCAATATGGGGGTCAATGGATTTTATTTGCTTGGAAATTACGCTGTAAAGGCAATATTTAAAGAGTTTTCGTTTCCTACACAAAATAAAATCTCAGAAAAAGCAGGAATTCCTCTCTACACTCCGGGAAAGGTTTGTAGAGAAGCCGCGCAACAGTCCCTCTACACTTTCCATCCAATTATTTCATCGATCAGTCCTCATTTCCGCCAGCGCCTGCGAGAGGTTTTTTAAGTTTTCCGTACGTAACCCACAGCAAGGGAGACTCTTGTTATTTGCCCTCCCCTCTTGCGTCCTCACTCTTTCCTTTCTAACTCTATGGTCCGAAGCTTAGTCCGCCCAATCGATGAGCTCACGCGCCGCGTCCTGTGACGGCAGGGGGGCGTGTATAGCGCTGTGCATTGTGGGAAGGAACGAATTGTCGCGTAGGAAGTCCGGACGGAAAAGAGGAAGGAGGAGGGGGGGGATCCTCCATTTTGGTCTGCGTTGGGGGAGCTGCTGGGATTTTTTTTCCCCTTTTGCTCGAGACTCGTGTCCCTTCTCTCGGACACCGGCTTCTCCCTCCCCGATAGCCGAGCGGCATTGTGGTTTTCCCGCGCGAAGGCTCCGTCCGTGCCTGGGAACCGGTGGGGGTTGCGGGGCAACGATGGCGGCCGAGAGCCGGGAGGAAAAAGGTACCGACGATTCCCCTCCCCCCTCTTTTCTGAAACCGCTCGTTCGCTGTCATGGCGACGGGGGTCCCGCGGGTCCGGACTGGGAGCGGGGAGGCGGCGGCGGCGGCTAGGCGGCTTTGTCTTGAACGTTATGCGGGTTGGCCCGGCTGATGCTGTAGGTGGGCGGCCCTTGTTCCCGAGGTGAGGCCCTGCCCTTCATGGTGGAGGGCCTCGGCGGGCCTTGATACCTTTTCCCCGACCTGGTTTCTGTCTCCCTGGCGAAACTGAATTCCCTTGTGGAAGCGTTGTGAGGCGTCCCCCCCCTTAAAAAAAAAAAACTCTCCTACTCTGGGAGCTGCGGAAGCCCAAGCGAGGGAGGTTTGATGGAATTAAGTGGAATGCTACTAGGGGATTATTTATAGCTGGGTGCGAAGTAGTTTTAGATTCGTATAGTTTGAGTAAGAGGCATTTAAGCTTTAAATAATTGGGACTGAAATGCTCCTAACATTGGCTGAAATGTTTTCGCTTGTGTGTCCTTGATTTTGGGTTTTAGGGTTTTTAAAAAAAAAACATTTTTACCCAGTTTTTCTCCTTTAAAGGACCCAAGGTGGCTTTTTAATATCTGCCCGGTGGCGGAAACTTTAGTAAACCTGGTAACTATTGAGTAAATGTGAGTTAGGACCATTGTCTATATGCCGATGAGAAACTGAGACAGAGAAAATAATAACATGCCTAAGGCCCCCTGCCAGGTTATTAGCTGAAGTAAGACTTGTGCCAGCAGTATCTTCGTTTATGTTTTATATTCTTTGATAGTGCAGTAGGTTAGCTTTCTGATTACTTGGAACACTTTGCAGTACATACACAGGGAGAGTGTGCCAGTGTTTTCTCCACTATGCCAGTTAAGCCGAGTTGCTCCTTTCTGTATAAAACTGCAGATCCATGCGTTTTCCAGGTCATGGGGTGAAATGTGTTAGAAATGGGACCTGTGTTATGGTCCAGTGCAGTCTGTTTGAACTGCATAACAGTGCATTTCTTTTATACTTAATGGTCTTCACCTCTAAATGGATTTAAAAGGCTTTTAAACCCAGGGAGATGGACTGGATGACCCATAGGATCCCTTCTAGCACTGTAATTACAATGTTTGCTTATATTTACTTTGAACATGTTTGCAAGGTACTGCATAGGGATAACTGGTGATTCTGTATTGTAGTATATGCTAATAGAATTTTAATTGGATCATATGTTATACAGGTAAATTTCAGAAATTCTGTAGAACACCTTGATAAACAAAGAAACTGAGGGATAGTTGTCTATCATGTCTGCTTCAGATTAGTGTGTAATGAATCTACCGTATGTTCATCAGAAATTTCAGATAGCAAACTTCGCAGAGCCCTAGGTATGCTACCCAAAATGATGCTGATATCTATAAACTTGAAATATTTCTCAAGGTTTAATGTTTTATCTTTGCATTTTTTTTTAAATATAAAGGCTCTTGTATACTAAGCATGACAAATAAAAATATCTTGAACTTTGTCACATGCGGTCTCACCTTTTAACCTTTTCCTAACATTTACTTTATATATTCTTTAGCTTTTAGACAAAAGAAATGACAGTGAAGATAAACTTTTTTCAACAAGGGTTGAGATGCTTAAAGGAATTATTTAGTATTGATGAAAATGACATTCAGCCTTTTCAAAATTGATGACCCATTCCAAAAACTTGAGAGTATGGTGAGGGGAAAAAAAGGAGGGGGATTTTACTTACTACAGTTGTAAAACAGCACACTCTATATTTGTCCATTTTATAAATAAACAAATGTAAATGCCTTTCCAGTTGAAGGTTCCTGAATCTGAGAATACTTCTAGCAGAACAGTGCAGGTACCAGTCCTAGATTATGCATGACATGCCAAGTCTCAAGTCAGTTTTAGGAATTGTGATGAATATAATGGTGGTGCCAATACAGTATATCCCTATCATACCTAAACTGACAAAGCGAAAAAGTAGCAAAATTTAAGTGCATTTTGTTTTGAACCAATGTATGGTAAAAACTGACAATAGAAGGCATTTGTTTTGTCGGCCATTTCAACGTTATCCTCACTTTGTCAGCTTGGTTGTCACAGCATGTTGCTGTTTCATTAGCTCAGTTGCTTAGGTATCTTGATGAGAAACCAGAGATTGGGGGTTTGATTCCCCACTGTGCCTCCTTGATAGGAGCTGGACTCGAGGTTCCACAAGATCTCTTCCACCTCTGCAATTCTAAGATGATGATGAGTATCATTATATCCATATTTTCTAAAGAAGCCACACAGTGGAGAGTCCAGCACTAGATGGTGCTATTACCAAAGGCCCCAAGAGCAATAATATGTTGAATCTACATTGCAGCAGTTTTGTGGTGGGGGTGGGGAAAGGTGTATAGTGGCATGTTCTAGCATGATTTGTGCATTCAGTACAGACCACAAACACAATTTGTTTGCCTGTGTACAGTAATAAAGATATGGTAGTATTTGTATGCGAATTGCGACACTACAGGTGCCACGGAGCCCATCTCCTACAGTAATAGATATGTACTATTTGTATGCAAATTGCAACACTACAGGTGCCACGGAGCCCATCTCCTCCCCCTAGAGCCAACTGGTCCACTCACCATTCACAGTGTAGCACTCAGGTCCGTCTTACAATCACCTGGAGTGTCTGAAGCTTCAGGCACTCATCTGGAATGCCTGAAGCTGCCCACAATCTTGATCTGGGTTTGTAGGATTGATATGTACTATTTGTATGCAAATTGCAACACTACAGGTGCCACGGAGCCCATCTCCTCCCCCTAGAGCCAACTGGTCCACTCACCATTCACAGTGTAGCACTCAGGTCCGTCTTACAATCACCTGGAGTGTCTGAAGCTTCAGGCACTCATCTGGAATGCCTGAAGCTGCCCACAATCTTGATCTGGGTTTGTAGGATTTTTCCAGCCCATCAGTTGTGTTTGTATACATATATCTGAATTAAGCACTACATTAAATGTGTTCATAGGAGGAAAGCTAGAGAAAGAGAGGAGAAATGAAATGGTTGCAAAATCATTCTGTATTTTAGTTAGCAAAAATACTTGGTTTCTCATAAGTTGAAATAACCATTAATTTGATACCCTGAAATCTTCAAGCAAAATTAAAACTGCCTGCTCTATCTTAGTGAAGCCATGGCTACAGACTACTGGAACCCCATGTTTATTTCATTGTTCAGCAAGAAGCAAGTAGCCCTTTGCGGACTACTCTCATGGCTTAAAACTATCAGCTACAAGTATTAATTGGGGAAATCTGCCACCCAGAAAGATAGTACAACAAGCTTCAAGCACAGAGACATATTTAAATCAACATCTTTCAAAACAAAGTAATACTCA